ACAAATAAAGCCTTAATATCATCCATGTGTTAATTTGATACATCCATTTAAAAAATAACGATCGGTTTATTGAAACAAGAGATACATCCATACATTCGTATAATACTGCCGTTTTGGTGCTTTCAAGAAGACTAGTTCTTTTAAAACAGTGTTTCTCAACTATGGCAATATTAAGATGTCTGGACTTCAATTCCCAGAATTCCCCAGCCAGCATTTCTATTTGTGTGAACAGAAGTGATGTGAGCAATTTTGCCTCATCCTTGTCCCCGATAGGTGTGTATTGCTTTATTGTTATTTTTATTATTGTCTCATTCTCCTTTATTCATTGGTGCCCACAAGCCTACTTGAATATACATTCATTATCATACAAATATTTTAAATATAGCTACCCAGCTTCAAAGCGTATTTGATAGGTACCTACACAGTCAGTTCCAAAATTCAAAGGTAGAGGACCAAGCAGTTGAGTTTGCTTTTAACTAAATAAAAAAAGGACTGAACTTAGACTTAGTTTAATTATATTTTCCCTCAGAGATCAGGGTCTATAACCCCATTAGTAACATCTTGCATTTCATTTCTTTTGTTTTTTTTATTCATTATACGATATAAATACACCTGCATTCATTTTTCTGAAGTCTGGATTTTGCCCCTTGCCATTCCTTACCATGCACTAACTTCCAAAGATAAGAGCAATATCAGTAGTCCCTCGACCCAAAAATACACAACGCGAAAAAGGCTTAGACAAATGGTTGTGGATCCAAGACTATTCGTTAGCATCGGTTCCATCTCCTTTAAAGTTAACTGTGTCTTGTGGTGTGCTGTGGTGGGATAGTTTGGACTTTAAAAATAAAGTTAGGAAAATAACAGAACCAAAAAAAAAAAAGGGTGGGGGGGAGTTAAGAGGTCTACATTTTTGTATTTCCAAATCTCTCATATTTTTGCAAAGGGTTCCGACTTGCTTAAGAAATTGTACAAACCCCCCCACCCCACCCCAGCATCTTCCCAGATTTGTGTGTTCCCTTTCGAAGAGTGCCTTGTGCATATGAAGTTGTGCTTACATCAGAATTTGCAGGCAGGATGGCTGGATCAGGCTCCAGATCATCTTGAAAAGAGAACGATTCTCCTGAATTCCCAAATCTGAAAACTATCCGAGGGACGATGTCCGAGAAGCTACTGTGTTTCGGTCTCTTTATGCTTTGTAGCTGTGTGCAGTTGAATAGTATAGCTCCTGTTTTAATTTTTTGGCTTTTTTTGGGTGGGGGTGGGGTAAGGTGACATGCGTTGCGATGTATCTTTCTTGTTAAGGTGAGGAAGCTTTTACATCCATGGTCAAAAAGCACTTGTGCAGCAGTTGTTCCTCTCCTGTCTCCCTGTCCCGACTCTTCTAAAGTCACTCTTCGTGGCAGGACATTTTTCCTCCTGTGCACGCATGCTTTACCGGCACATGTGCAATGGAGCACGCACACAGTTCTTCCCTCCGCTGCATTCAAAGAGAGTCGTGGCGTCTCCAAAGGCTGCTCTGGCTGCTCATGTCATAAATCAGTTGTCCGAAAAGAGCATCCCAGACTAGATCAGATTTGGTGTTTGTGAAAAACATTGTTTGCTAAAGGTTACAGCGCAACCATGATTCCTGTGCCGGCGGATGTGGTGGGAGGGCAAATGGTTAGTAAGCAATAAAAGGGATGTTGATGGGGTTTTTTTCTCACATACATACAGAGAGAGAATGTATATGAAATTGTTTTTGCTTAGTGTCCTTTTTTTTCCTCCTCCTTTTAAAAAGTGTAGATTTGGGATGTTAGCTCATTTGGTTTTTATCTATTTATTAATCAAATTTGTATAGCCGCCCGTTTCGCCCAAAGCAACTCTGGTTGCCATTGGTTTTTTTTTTGTTTGTTTGTTTGTTCGTTTCGTCCTTCTTGCTGCAATATGGTTAAGTGGGGAAGTATTTCCCTTCCAATTAAAACCTAATAATCAATTAATGTGCACTGTTATGGAGAAGTATGTGTAACACCTTTTCCAGTTTTTGAACAAAGTGATTGTGGGTTTTTTTCCCCCTTTAATTTTCATAGGCACAAAACCAGAAGAGAAATTCCCATCTCTTTGCGCTTAAGTTTCATTATTATTATTATTATTATTTTATTATTATTATTATGATGGTTGGTCATACAGCCAACCAGATGTTGCTATTACAGAGAGAGAGAGAGTGAAAGAGAGGGTTATGGGGAAAAGGAGAGAGATCACAACTTTGGGGAAGGTTCCACATTAATCACCAATTTTGATCTTAAGTGGCTTTGAGAGGATAGTTCTAAAAGGACACTTAAAAATCAAGAACATACATTTACATTCTTCCAGCTCTTTCTACTTTCCTACCCAATACAACCAAATAACAGGAAGTTTCCATATAACAGGAAGCCAAAAGTAATATCCCACTTGTTTTAATATTTGAAAGAAATAACAAAAAGAATCTGCATAGACAGAAAGAAATAACACAATTTTTCTTTCTTTCCTCCTGCTGGTACCAGTTTGAACATCACAGTTCAAAAAAAAACAAAAACAAAATATAGTACTATAAAATAATTTTGTACTGTATTTATTGTGTATAACGATTTTTTAAAAGAATTATGTACATTTAGTACTTCTGTGTAAATTAAATTGCTCTTTTTAAAAATGGTATAGAAATTGGCTTGGCTTTTCTTGAATGAAAGGAAAAACGGCTTTGGAAATTGCCAAAAGTCCACGGAAAAAGACTTTGGCTTCCGTTTTTGTACAAATGGCAGTACGTGCCTTTTGAAAGGCAAAACTTTTGACTCTTTTTAAATAGCAAACCAAACTGAAAGGAACAAAACTTGGTTCTTCCATCACATGTGACTAATCACAGTTCATGGCAACAATATATTGTGCCCAAACCAGAAACTGGTCATTTGGGGTTTAGTTTGTCTGGGAAACTTAAGTGCCTTGTGGGCTCATTGGCCATTGCTCTGTGGTCTAGCACCAGTTTTCTTTTGGGGTGGATGTCATTGGGGCAGTTCTGGGGTTTGGGTGAAGGGAATTGCTGGGGAATCTTAATCCACTAAACCACTGTTGTTATGTGTGTATGTGAATAAGTGGGACAACACAAGTGGTACCACTGTGATGGGTAGGTTCCATGCACCTATGGCGTATAGTCATGCTAGCCATGCGACCACAGAAATATCTTCCGATAACGCTGGCTCCCTTGGCCATGAAACCGAGATGAGCAACACACACACACACCCCAGTTTTGGACATGACTTGCAGGACACCCCAAAGATGCTGTTCCAAGAGGCAACTGGATTTCCTTTTGTTTTTTCCTCGAAGATATTTCGCTTCTCATCCAAGAAGCGTCTTCAGCTCTGGCTGTCAACTCATAAAACATTTGAGAGTGTGGCTCGAGGCTCAGGATTGGAGTAGCTGCCGGAATCCTGACCCTGGCTGGATGGAGGGGGAACGGAAGGATTTATGTTCCTTGTAGTCAGTTGGTCATTTGCATCCTTGTAGAGAGTTGTTGAGGCCGCTTGGAGGTTTATCTGGGTCCTCGGGGGTCACCCGAGTGGTGCAAACAGGTGTGAAGCCTTCTTGCGGACTGTATTGTGGAGGTGTGCTTTCTGCCCCCTGTCCCTTCACGGTTGAACCCAGCTGCACAGGCTGTTGGGGACGAGTCTGTGATGTCCGCATCTCAAGCTGAAAACATCCTGCAGAAAAAGCACCCAGCTCCACCGCACGATCCTTTCAGCCGTTCCAAGAAGACTCCACACCCATTTGCATGACTCGGGTGACCCTGAGGACACCGGTTAAGCCTCCAAGCGGCCTCAAAGACTCTCTCTGAAAGGATGCAAATGACCAGCTGTCTGCCAGGAAGAAACATCTTCAAGGAAAAACATCTTCCTTGAAACATCTTCAAGGAAAAACGAGAAAGTCCAGTTGCCCCTTGAAAAAGCCCCTTTGGGACAACCACGACCTGGATGACTGAGAAGCTCCATAGACAGAGAAACCTTTACGGCTACCGTTACTTGGCAACGGCTACAAGTGGCATTGTTGGAATCGGTTTCCAGAGGCAGGTTGGTATCTTCCCCCACTGACATTCGACCCATGGAAGAAAAGTTGCCCTCGGAAGTTGCGGGAGCGCCATCCCTTGAGACTTTCAAGAGGAGATTGGGCTGCCCTTTGTCAGAAATGGTGTAGGGTCTCCCGCTTGGGCAGGGGAGGGTTGGACTAGATGACCCACAAGGTCCCTTCCAACTCTGATGATCTGTTGTCTGTTTGGTGTGCAACCATTCCCAGCTGAGAACACTGTCCGGTCTTCATCGGTTGCTTGCCGAATGTGGATCTCTAGTTGGCGAATTGCCGCGAAGGCTTCAACCTTCTGTCAGAGAACAAGCAGGTGTACTCTGGACTCGGATAAACCGGGGTGGTTGAAGGACTCTTACCTTGAGCAGGTAAGGATGGGTTCGAAGACCTCCAAAGTCCCTTTCAGCCCGAGGAGCAGGAGTGGGCTTCAAAGATTTGAGCAACGGGTTCTCTGCCCAGTTGCTGCGTTGATGTAGCCAGGGTGGGTCAGCCTCCTGCACCATGATGCGGGGGGGTTTCGGAGGCTCTGGGGACTCCGGGGAGGGCAGGGCAGAGCAGGGCCAGTCAGGAGTGAGATTTGGGGGTTCTCCCGAACCCCCAGCAGCCCAACCCTGCTAGGTTGATTCTGTGGTTGATTCTCCCTGAAACCCATTTTGATCTACAGTTTTTTTGCCCAAAAATAAAGTAAAATTGGACTTCCACCTTTCTTCTTCCTCTTCCCCTACTTTTACTGTGACTTTTACTTTCTCCTCTCCGAACCACATGGTGGCATCCGAGGCCTTTAGCTGCCAACCCCACATTCCTTTCGCTCGGGGAGGGGAAGGGTTTCACGCGCATCATTTTTTGTGCATTAGTTATTCTCCAGTTCTTGGCCATCCCCGGCAACGTTCTCCCTCCCTAGATAATTTATGCTAATGTAGAAATCTCCCTGCACGCCTCTTGACAGCCAACGAATTGGTTTTGCAAGAGAACTCTTCGGATATTCCTTGGGACCCCCAGAGGTGAGGAGGAGGGAGAAAATAAACCAGGATTTCTACAAACAAACAACCAAGAGGGATTTTTTTTTTTCCATCCGAAAGTGACATCGGTGTGTGGATCTTTGTGTCCCGGGCTGCCCTCATCTGCAACATATTTTCTGCTGGCTGTTTGCCTCTTCCCACAGCCTTTCCTAAAATAAAGCGACGTATTTTATTCGAAGGCTGAAGAAGCCCAGTGATTCCTCACCTAGAAGGGTCCCTTTCTGCTCCCAAGATTTTCTCGAAATCCTGTGCCAAAGGGTGAAGATGCTTGCAGGAAGCAAGTTTTAGAACTGGAGGAACACCGAAGGTCTTACAAGCTCCTGCGAAAGATATTTTTTCCCTCTCTGTCCCAGGAAACCAAGTGTAAGTGCTGAACTTCCTACAACTTCCTAAAAGTTCATCAGGTTTGGAGATCTTGCATTCCTAAAAGATTAAAGGATCCACGAGCCTACTGGATACTCTCTCAAGTAGCTGAGATTTTTAATTTTTTTTTTAACTGGATCGAGCCTCTGGGTTTGATCGTTGGGCCTTGCCCATTGTTGACATTCCAGACCTAGTTGTCTTTGAGGTCTATGGTTCTCTCTGCCAAAGCTTTCCTTCTCTTCCGTTGCACCCTCACCTGCGCTTAGAATTTATTGCCAAGGAAGCGGACAGAGCGTTGAGTTCTCAGGGCAGTCAAAATGTTCAGCTGGATGAAAAAGAATGAGAAGAAGACCCCAGAGGTCATCCGTACGGTTACCGAGGGCTTGAAGGACCTCTACAAGAGGAAGCTCCTTCCCGTGGAAGAGTTTTATCGCTTCCACGATTTTCACTCGCCGGCTCTGGAAGATGCAGACTTTGACAACAAGCCCATGGTTTTGGTGGTGGGCCAGTACTCCACCGGCAAAACCACCTTCATCAAATACTTGCTGGAGCAAGATATCCCCGGGAGCCGAATTGGTCCTGAACCCACCACAGACTCCTTCATCGCTGTCATGCACGGCGAAACGGAGGGAATCATACCAGGCAATGCCCTGATTGTGGACCCCAAAAAGCCCTTCCGAAAACTCAACCCTTTTGGAAACACCTTTCTCAACCGGTGAGTAACCTCTTCCCCCAGCACACACAATTGTTACCTGTTCCTTTCCCATTGGCCTGATATTTTTCAAGGTCTAGCTTTGAATGGAAGAGTCCCCAAGGTTTTGGGGCATTCATCATTCCAGAACAGGGCGTTGATTAATTTCGGTATGCCACGTGGCGCTGAACTTGGAAAATGTGTGTGTGTGTGTGTGTGTGTGTGTGTGTGTACCGACCACATATGGACAACTTGTACACCCTTAGAACACTTCTGGTGACCGAGGTAGTATTTCTCTTTCCCTTCCTCCCTGCTTTTAATAAGTTAGATATGGTTGCCTCCACCCCTCCAGAATACAATAATAACACAGTTGGAAGGGACCTTGGAGGTCTTCTAGTCCAACCCCCTGATCAAGCAGGAGAAACTATTCCATTCCAGACAAATGGCTGTCCAATCTTTTTTTTTTTTTTTGAAGACCTCCAGTAATGGAGCATCTACAACTTCGGGTTGATTGTTGTCACTGTCGGGAAATTCCTCCTTAATTCTAAGTTGTTTCTCTCCTGGATTCGTTTCCATCCGTTGCTTCTTGTCCTGCCTTCAGATGCTTTGAAGAATAGCTTGACTCCCTCTTCTTTGGGGCAGCCCCTCCAATCCTGAAACACTGCTATCATGTCGCCCCTGAGCCTTCTTTCCTCTAGACTAGCTATACCCAGTTCCTGCAACCATTCTTCATGTGTTTGGGCTCCTAATCCTCTTGGTAGCTCGTCTCTGCACTCTTTCTGGAGTCTCCACGTCTTTTTAATCGTGAGATGACCAACACTGGATGCAGTACACTTAAGCGTGGCCTTACCAAGGCCTTAAAAAGCGGTGCTTTGAAGCATCACGCAACCACACGGTGAAATGGATGAGACCGGGAGACATTGACAGAGCCAAATTGAGCTTTCTGGCTGGGTAGGCTTATGTCTCCACTCGGGTGCCACACCCTAAGTCAGCCTCCCTGACAGCAGCTGTTAAATGGGACGAGTGGGAGCTGTTATCCCTGTAAAGCTAGAAGACATCAGAGTGGCAAATAGGGCGGAAAGGTAGGCAGGTGACCAGGTGAACAGTACTACATCACCGATGTGTTTTGGGGATCATAGGATTTGGAGTCCAACACATCTGAAACTCACCTTAGCACCTGAGGGCATGTCAAGTAGCAAGGGGTGGGAGTTGGTCAGAGGGAGATCCAACCTGGACGTAAAGAGGAATTTCCTGGAGGTGAGAATGATTCATCGGTGGACCTGCTGGCCGCCTGGAATTGTGGCCGCTCCATTGCTGGATATTTCCAAGAACAGACTGGACACCCATTTATCCAGGATGGTATAAAAACTCCTGCCCTGGGCAGGGCGGGAGGGTCAGACTAAAAGGCCTCCAGTGTACCTTCCAGACCGTGGATTCCATGAATAGTGCCAGATTTGGAAAAGGCATTGAACCTAGAGGATCTTTCTCTGTACAAAACATCTTCCAGGAAAGAAAGAAAAAAAACCACGTTCATATGCCTTTTTTCCCCCGCCTAAGAGTAAAGCATCTTGGGGACCCCCAGAGAATGGAAACCCCTGTGATTTGATGCCTCGGCTTAGTTTCACAAGAGCTCCATTTTTAGCATATTTGTTTAGATAGGCTGGGCCGTGCTTCTTCCTCTGTCAAGGCGTTTTTTGCTTTTTTGTTTTTTTTAAAAAAACTTCAACTCCACCCTTTGCCCCACTCCCAAAAAATTTTGGCAGCTGTTGCTGCCCTTCTTTCTGGCTTTAGCTCTTCCCCCACGAAAAAAGACTTATCAGCTGGGACTCCAGAATTGGATTTAGACCTAACGAAAGCATTGCAAGAGTTGAAATCTGAAGACTGGAGGAACATAACACAGTGGACAGTCGACGGATGTGGTAGAAGGTGAAAAAAAGACAAAAATTGGTAGCATCCTCTTGATGTACAATAGAATAGGGATAGGATAGGATAGGATAGGATAGGATAGGATAGGATAGAATAGAATAGAATAGAATAGAATAGAATAGAATAGCAGAGTTGCAAGGGACCTTGGAGGTCTTCTAGTCGAACCCCCTGCTTAGGCAAGAAAGCCTACATCATTTCAGACAAATGGTTGTCCAAGCTCTTCTTAAAAGCTTCCAGTGTTGGAGCACCTACAACTTCTGGTGGCAAGTCATTCCACTGGTTCATTGTTCTAACTATGAAGAAATTTTTCCTTCGTTCTAAGTTGCTTCTCTCCTGGATTCGTTTCCATCCGTTGCTTCTCGTCCCCTGCCCTGCTTTGGAGAATAGCTTGACTTCCTCTTCTTTGGGGCAGCCCCTGAGATATTGGAAGACTGCTATTATCATGTCACCCCTAGTCCTTCTTTTCGTCAGACTACTAGACATCCCCAGTTCCTGCAACCCTTCTTCATATGTTTTAGCCTCCAGTCTCCTAATCCTCTTTGTTGCTCTTCTCTGCCCTCTTTCTAGAGTCTCCACATCTTTTTTACATCGTGATTTACTTGTAAATAGAATAGAATAGAATAGAATTCTTTATTGGCCAAGTGTGGTTGGACACACAAGGAATTTGTCTTGGTGCAAATACTCTCAGTGTACATAAAAAGAAAAGATACATTCATCAAGAGTCAAGAATCATCAGGTCCAACACTTAATAATAGTCATAGGGTACAATAAGAAATCAAATCATACTAGGAAACAGTCACTATAAATTGTAAGGATACAAGCAACAAAGTTACAGTCATACTGTCAGCAGTGGGAGGGGATGGGCGATAAGGAGTGATGAGAAGATTAATAGTAATAATAGTGCAGACTTTGTAAATAGTTGGACAGTGTTGAGGGAATTATTTGTTTAGCAGAGTGATGGCATTTGGGGAAAAACTGTCCTTGTGTCTAGTTGTTCTGGTGTGCAGGGCTCTATAGCGTCGTTTTGAGGGTAGCTTTTTGTCCTATCCTCAGGTGCCTTAGAGAATAGCTTGACTCCCCCTTCTTTGGGGCAGCCCCTGAGATACTGGAAGGCTGCTCTCCTGTCTCCCCTGATCCTTCTCTTCACTAGACTAGCCAGGACCGAACTAGTTCAACCCTTCATCGTATGTTTTAGCCTCCAGAGCCCTAATAGTCTTTGTTGCTCTTCTCTGACCTCTTTCTAGAGTCTCCACATCTTTCTTACATCGTGGCGACCAGAACTGAATGCAGTATTCCAAGTGTTTTCATAGCTTTCAATTAAAAAAAAAAAGAAGATTTTTTTTGGCGGCGTACTCTGATATCTTCTCGCTGCCCCTGAAATAATGAGAAAGGAAAAATCAGAATTATTAGTCCGCTACTGCTGGGCTCAAGGAACTGCAGGCCCCACCGTTGAGACCGGCGGCCGGTGCCAAAATTCCTGGGAAGCTTCAGCCCCGCTAATAAAGAAAGAACAGCTGCTTGTGGGGCAACGGAGGAGGAGGAGGAGGAGGAGCAGGGTGGCTCTTGTCCAAAATGCAGAACTGAGATCCGTCTCATCTGCCTGAGGTCGCACTGTCAAAAGGGAGGAGAGCAAAAACTGGCAGATGAAGCTGCAAAGGAACAATAGGAGAGTAACTGAGTGGGAAGGGACCTTGGAGGTCTTCTAGTCCAACCCCGCTGCTCAGGCAGGAAACCCTACAGATTTCAGACAAGTGCTTGTTCAATCTCTTCTTTAAAAACCTCCAGTGTTGGAGCATACACAACTTCTGGTGGCAAGCAGTTCCACTGGTTAATTGTCCTCACAGTCAGGAAATTTCTCCTGAATTTCTAGATTGTTTCTCTCCTTGCTTAGTTTCCATCCGTTGCTTCTTTGTCCTGCATTCAGGTGCTTTGACCCCTCCTCCTCTTCTTTGGGCAAACCCCTCAAAAATACAGATGGTCCTCAACTTACGGCCACTATGGAGCCTTACATTTCTGTTGCTAAGTGAGACATTGGTCCAGTTAGGGGTTTTTTTGCCCCATTTTGAAGACCTTTCTTGTCTGATTCGATCTAACTTTATTATGCCGCCTCCTCCTCTTTTATTCCAGCTTGGAAAATAACTCCATATGTGGTTGTCATTATAATGATGTTTGCTGGTGTGTTTATCGCCTGCATACCCTGCCCCAATCCCAGGGGGCTGTTGATGGTTTTAGAGCAATGCACAGATGACAAAAGCATTCACCCTCCCTTTAAAAATAGATTCCTTAAAAACAGATTTATTTATTCGTTAAGAGAGAATTGATACGGCCACCCAACTCACTCACTCACTCCGAGCTGCTTACAACGATAAAAAACCCACTACACAAAGCAATGCACCTTTCCCCACCATCCTGGAGACAACAGTTAGATCAAATATTTGATGGGGGGTGGGGTCCATCTCATGCTGGGGACCCCAGGCCCATTGGCAGAACCATCCCTTCGGGACTTTTGCTAAAGAAAGTGGGGGCCAATCTAAACCTTGGGGTGAAGGATGAAGTTTATTTATTTACTTATTTAGTATTTATTCATTCATTTATTTAGTATTTATTTGTTTGTTTGTTTAACGACCGTGTTTCCCTGAAAATAAGACCGGGTCTGATATTAATTTTTTGCTCCCAAAAATCCATTAGGGCTTATTTTCTGGTTAGGTCTTATTTGGGGGGAAAATACGATTCCAAACCATTCGTCTGGTTGACAATCTTAACGGGCTTATTTTCGGGGAAGGGCTTATATTATGAGCATCCTGAGAAATCATGCTAGGGCTTATTTTCCAGTTGGGTCTTATTCTGGGGAAAATACAGGTCTAAATGCCCCTCTCTGGCTAGCGATCTTAACTGGGGCTTATTTTCAGGGAAATACAGTTCAAAATGCATCCATCTGGCTGACAATCTTAACTGGGGCTTACTTTCAGGGTAGGGCTTATATTATGAACACCCTGGAAAAATCATGCTAGGGCTTATTTTCCAGTTGGGTCTTATTCTCAGGGAAACAGAGTATCTAAATTGTATGCCACCCATCGCGTCAACGGTGACTCTAGAGCGGGGGGGGGGTCAACCTCAGATTTCATTGAGGGCCGCATCAGGGTTGAGTTTGACCTCAGGGGGCCGGGGTGGGCGTGGCCAGCTTGATGTCACTCGTGTCAGGGGGGGGGCGCCTGGGGTGGACTGAGTGCTCTGCCAGTGAAAACGGGCTCCCGAGCTGCAGGCCGCATCCACATCCACACCGGGCCTTGAGTTTGACACCCCCGGCTCTAGAGCCTAGGCGGCTCAGAGGCTTTGAATAAAACGGAACCAATGGGATTTGACTCCATGCTTTTCCTTCTCTATAGGTTTATGTGCGCTCACTTGCCCAACCAGGTGCTCGAAAGCATCAGCCTTATCGACACACCGGGGATCCTGTCAGGAGCCAAGCAGCGGGTGAGCCGAGGTAAGGTAGAAGGTGGTGGGTACCTGCCCAGGTTCCTCCTGTCCCATTGGAGAGCGTGCCTTTTCTTCACCCTTGAGATGCTGGGGTTCAAGGCCAGTTGTCCAGGTTCCAAGTAATCTGTCCCTGGAATAAAAATCCAAGGCTGTCCAGTTCAGGGCTGGGACATCTGTGGCCCTCGACGTGGTTTAGAATTGCAGCTCCTGTCGTTCCCAACTCTTGACGTGCTAAGTCATATTTGATTTCGACCAAGATTTGCCAAGCTGTGTAAGGCAGAGTCCTTCCACAATGAGCCAGAAGCAGAATTACATCTGATTGTATTCATTTTCTGTATGTGTATATATCTATATGTCTATATCTATATCTATATATCTATATCTATACACACACAGAGAGAGACAGTATATATCCCCTTCTTCTCCATAAATTCCCCTCCTTTCTAGCACTCCTTCACCTCCTCCTCCTTTTTCCCTTTCTCCTCCTACTATCTCCTCCTCCTTCTCATTCTTCCCTTTTTCCTTTCTCCTTCCTCTTCCTCTCTCTTCTCCTTCTTCCTTTTCTCTTCTTCTTCCTCCTCCTCCTCTCTCTTCTTCTCCTCCTCCTTCTCCTTCTTCCCTTTCTCTTTCTCCTTCTTCTTTCTCCTCTTCCTCCACTTCCTTCTTCTCCTTCTCCTTCTTCTTCCCTTTCTCCTCCTCCTC